TTACATAGAGACGAATTGTGGTGTACATACTACAATCCAATACAATAAGTATTTAATTTTCAGGATGATCCAGATCTTCCAGGAGACCATCCGGTGACCACTCAGTATGATCAGGTCAAAAATCAGCATTTTTATACTTTTCAGTTACAGATACAAATCAACGCATACTACAATCTAATCAACCACTCAGAGTCTAATACCAGCTGATGAATACAAATTAAGTGCTTTACTACATTGTATAATGATCACAATCAAATACAGGAAGTACAGCGGCGCCGGTGGTGTAGGGGTAAGCGTGATTACCTTTCACCCCAGCAGGCCTGGGTTCAATCCCAGTCGGAGCCGCCGGGATGTTCTGAGGCATAACATCTCTGATCACGCCTTCCTTCGGGAAGGGAAGTAAAGCCATTGGTCCCCGGTTCATGAGTTGATGGGTCGATAGGTAGGGTCCAGGTGTGGGAGCTGCCTTTCTGGCGTCGGTAGCTTTGTGCTCAGCCCGGAAAACAAGACCGACGGAAAACAAATCAAAGAAAAAAATACAGGAAGTATTTAATTTTATGGATGTTCCTAGGACCGTTCGGTGACCACTCAGAGTCTTTGACCACCTGATATTTTAACAATCAGTATTTTGCTACATTACATATTGATATCAGGTCTTTTTTTACACGGGGTATACGTACCGTGTAAAAAAAAAACGTGTAAAAAAAACCTACGAGATTTTGATTTTTCATATATTAAAAAAAATGGATTTTGATGCCATTTGTAATTATAGCATGCTATGGTCCATATAGACATATATTTTAAAAATTTCTGAATTTCCATAAAAAATTAGATTAGTATGCCATTTGATTAACTATAGCTTGAAACGGATAATGTGATTGGAATCAAGTCGATAGGTTGTATCGTTGTCGAGAAATCTTCAAAAACGTACCGTGTAAATCGCGAAAAACCGTGTAAAAATAACCCGTGTGAAAAAAGACTCACTTTTCTTATCATTTTCAATTGATCAACGAGTCAGTATCTAAGGATAAAAGGAAAATTGTGCCGAAAGCAGCGAACAGTCCTTCCGAAACGCCTGCATGTATGTTTTTTAGTTTAGTTTTGCATATACATGTTCGAGTGACATATTTGTGTATTGTGAACACTACAAATGTTTTGTCTAACCGTGAAGCAACAAAGTGTGCACATTATATAATCGGATAAATGTATGGTGGTCAAAATGATTACGTTTCAATAAGCAACATTACTTCGGCTTTTCATTCATACATAATGTTTCTAAAATTAGTTTTGAGTATTCGAACAGTATTTCAATAGAAAGGGTATCAAATATATATGAATATGTTCAGCGTATTTTTCAAACTGGGAATAAATATTGATTTAGACCTTTATCTTGTGGTTAGCACATTGTGCAAGCAACAAATCTATGTTGCCGCATGGTTGCCATTATGGCTATGATTTTTATAAATTCATATTTGAAATTCATTCGTGAGTTTCTCAAAATTCTTTGCGAATATGCTCGAACATTTAATAATCGATTAAAACTTATGGTATAGAATAGGGAATAGACTCATTTATTAGGTGATCCTTTTAGCCATTATGGTTTTATGACCGTTACAAGGAAGCGGGGTATGGTTTCCCCATATAAAATTAAAAAAAAATAACTTTCACTAATTTTCTCCAGAGGGTTTCTTTTGCATGAGTGGGCAGATAGCCATGAATTTGGGCTCAAATTAACCTTAGGTATCAATTTAGGGAATAGACTTTATCTTATTACAATGAGAATCATGATTTTTGAAATTCATGCACAAACGTGCAATGAAGTCAGGTTTCAGATTTTTTCATTCCGGTGGGTCCTTAAGACAGTTGAATTAACCCATAACATATCTAGAATTCACGCTCAAGTCTTTAAACCATAACGCTTCTGAACATGCCGAACAATACCTCTAGATTTAAATCGTTTGGTTTCTTTGCTTAACTCTTAAGGCCTCTAATTTATCCCGTACATTATCTGAAGTCAAGCGAAGCAATGCAAGGAGTTGACCCTTAAGCTTCTGAAATTGAAGGTCTTCGAGAATTTTGCAGTTAACCTTGAGGTCTTTTAAGATGGCATATAAGGTCTTTATACCGAACTGGTAAGGATCCTGAATTCAAGATTTTAGTCCTTATTTATTTAAGCTCCATCGATATGACCTGCAGAGTCTTGTTTGAAATTATCCTATTTTATTATTTAATTAAATCTTCAACATAATGTTGTACAGATATTTTCTAGGCTAGGTGTCGAATTCTATGTCTGTAAGTAGACTTACTTATGTTAAAATCATATACAGCAAACGTTTCATTAAACACACGACAGCACAAAGTCCACGGTACGTTGAATCCATAGTTGGTACGATGGGTAGGTTGCCACAGAAGCGTGTAACTACGTAGAACTCTTTGAGGAGCATTTGGCTCACAAGAGAGTTGCAATCCACGTCACCGTTAAGCAATCCAAACACGAAGAGTCGCTGAAGTAGTTTCCTCCTTGCTGCCAACGTGTCCAGGTCAATCAGCCTGCACCGTTCTTCGTAAGGCGGCAAATTTACCGAATCGTTCCAGGGCAGAACACGTAAAGCGTATCTTACGAAGTTTCGCTGAATGGCTTCGATTCTGTTAGCTTGAATAGCGTGAAAGGGTGCCCACACAACAACAGCATACTCTAGAAGACTGCGGACGAGAGCACAGTATAGTGATTTCAGCGCGTAGATGTCCTGGAATGCGTTTGTGTTTCGTTTCAAGAAACCTAATGTGGCGAATGCTTTAGCAGTTATCATGGAGATGTGCTCATTGGTCTGTATCCACATTAATCCGGACACCTTCAAATCACTGTAACTTTTGAAATATTACACGTAGGAGTGAAACATTTCGTTGAGATATAGCTGGGAGTCATTGATGAAAAAGACTAGGATTGGTGTTTACCTTCCATGCTTACTGTTCAAGATGGCGACGAATGAAAAACACGTGTGCGAGTGGATTTTGTACGGACGTAATGCAAATCCTGAATGGACTTACTTTAATCCACTGTTCACGGTGTGCTCAAATCATTTTCGGAACGTCTGATGGTCTAGAGGAAACCGAGAAGTGATAAAAACATTGGACGTGCTGATCCTGTCATGGACCGAAAGGTGAAGAGGATATTGAAGGAAAACCCGAATCTCTCTGTTCGAACGTTTGGGGCTGAAGTCGTTTAAAGTAAAAACAGTTCCAAATCACAACAGCAAACATAATTTGAGAGCAAAATCACGGGCTCGACGTTTCTAACGCGAATATTTGACGAAATTTTCATGTGATTGTAAATTGTTCCAGTTAAAAACAATCTCCCGCCCCTAGGCCCGGTCCAGTAAAATTTTCTAGCTACGCCAATGATTTTAGGATCTTCAAATTCTCCTGAATTGTTGATCTCAAAGTTCTACAACTTCCACAATTGTTTTTTTTTTTTACGATGTTCTGATTTATTATACAATTTTTAGAGCTTCTTACGATTCTTGTTCATCAAAGTTTTTTTTTCTAGTATCTTTTTTTAAAGATTGTTTTATAGTTTTAGCTTTATTCTATCCGTTATTAGTTTTTTATTCTTTTGTTTATCTTACTATTAGCAAATGAGTTATTTTTTGTGCAGTGGTCCTTAGAGGTTTTTTTTATAAATTATTTGATCGTTATTTCCTAGTTTTTGTTTTCATTTTCTAAGTGTTTTTGTGATGATTTTTTTTAAATAAATTAATCATTGTTTTTCGAAAGTTCGCAGTTATTCATTTTGTTTCAAATATTAAGCCTTTTGTGTTTTGTTTATTTTTTACCGTTTATAAATATTCTTTCATTATATTGGTAAATTTTCCTTTTATATATTGCTGAGATTTCACTTTTATCAATTTCCAAGTTTTAATGATTTTCAAGATTCTTTATTGTGTGATTTGTTTTAAGATTAGTTTTATTTGTTCGATGAACATAAATTCTTCACATTTGAACTAACAAAAAACACTTTGATCGAGTATAAATTCTTCGTTCCGCACATCATAGAACCCCATCGCTGTTCCAGTATCCATTCAGGTAAGTGACGCTCCCCCTCATCGGCTGCCTGCATGTCCTAATATTCGATCACCTCTAACTGCGTGTCTCCAGAATTTCAAATATCACTGCAGAAAATCAATTTCTGCATGATTCGCTTGAGTAAGATTGATTTTTTTGTGTCCTGTTCATCGAACAAACAGCCCCTACAAAAAAAAATCCGCTGAGGCCAGCTTTATTTAAATTTGGTTTTTATTTAAGTTTCCACCGCTGCCCCACTGTTGTTGTGGGGTTAATGGTGAAAAGTTTAACCTTTGGGCATCGGCATTTTCTGTTCTGTTTCGTGTATTTTTGCTCTCTGTCTCTATATATATAAACAGGTGAGTGCCAGCGAAGTGTAAATATTTCGCCTACACCTTCACGGAAAACCCAGAGGGCCATATCAACATCGATATCGGCTGCCTGAAGCTCAATTTTATCTGCAACCCATTTTTTACCCTGTATTTTGTTTTTGCTCTCGTGCGATGCTCTTTTTTTCCCTTGTCGGAATGATGGAGTTCAATTTCTTCTTCATGTTTTTGTTGTTTTGTTTTTATTGATTTGATCGGATGGTAAATTTTCCATTTTATTCATTTATAATCTGAATGTTTTTGACGTTTTTTTTTTTCGTTTATTTTGTATTCGTTGGAATGGTTTTTCCTATTCGGTTTATAGCTAGAGCAAAAGCAAATCACGCCACCGTTCAGGCCTCGCCTGGACTCAGAGCGGGATTTGGCCAACTTTCCGCCGGAATTCACCGATGAACCGGTTCACCTGACACCCGATGATGAGTAAGTAACAACATGAAAAGTGTCGTCCGAAAGGGGATCCTGGAATTATGGTTTTTCACGTCTTTTCTGTTGTAAATTCAACTAGTTGCTCAAATCTTCAATAACACAATTTCTTCCTTGCACTTTCAGTCGCGTAATTGACAAGATCGACCAAAGTGAATTCGAGGGCTTCGAGTACGTGAACCCGCTGCTAATGTCGCTGGAAGACTGCGTTTGACATCACGCATCCTGCGAGCTGCATCCATACAACATGCAGGTGAGCGCTTTTGCCATGCAGCCGAACATTTCATTAGTACATTTGTACAAACACCCACCTCATCTCACACAGACACATACACACGTAGAAGAGAGTATAGGCATTCAACTGTGATTGTTCAATCGGGCTATCGATTTGAGCCTTCTTTAGGGTAGCCTCGTAGTTATTCTCAATTTGAACCATCGCAGGTGAAGCGTAAACATTCCAACAAACTGATTTTGTATTTTTCCTCTTGTTTTTCTCCCCTCAAATGAAATTTTCCCCCATATTTTTGATCCTTTTGTATGTGTTTGTATGGTGTAAAATCCTTAATCCGTTTCACCTTTTGTCTCCTTTTTGTTTCCAAATTCATAAATGTTACTCGTTATTTTTTGTAGTTTTGAGAAACACACTGTCCGTTTTACTACTACTACTATCACCACCCCTACTACTGCTAGTACCAATACCGAGAGAAAACAATTACCATGTACTACCACTACTACTGCTACTACTCTTCCTCCCAAGAAACCGATGCGCCACAGAAGACAAGAACGCAACAGAACAAAAACCCATTAGTTATTATCGATACATAACTAAGCGCTCCACTGTCAATGTTCCAAACAAACAAACAAACAAACAAACAAACAATGCAAAGTCGAGCGCAATAATGTGTTTTCCATATCGTTTTAACTTTTGTTTAGAGCGTGTTACCTGTACAAACATTTTTCGATTTTTTTTTGTGAATGTGATTTTTACTTTTGTTAACGTAGTGAAACAAACAACTGTTATCCACAAAACAAATTTAAAATGAATTTTTAGTACTGAAAAAAGTAAGTAGTTACCCAATCATTGTTGCAGAACATAAGCTTTTTTTTTTCATTAATTTGCACCAGCTTAAACTACTGATTGACCGTCGCCCTCTCCCTTTCTCTCTCCCTCTTGATGTTGTTGACCGCCTGCTTTCTGATAGTAAATGTTTATTTTGCTTAAATTTCATTCCTTATTTTGCTTTCACTGTGTTCGTGCCTATTTCTGTTGCTTCACAAACTTGTTCAGGAAGGAGATTTGCTAGTTTAAGACCAACTAGGATTGTCGTCCGATGATGATGATGATGATGATGATGATGATGGCAGAGCAAGGTTAACTAGCGGTTAAGGTAATACTGCGAACCCCTCCGAATGGTTTTTGGATGGTTTCATTAGTTAGTGACCCTGGTTCCTGATTTAAATCTAGTGTGCGTAGAATAGGTGAATCCTGGGGACAAAGCTTGGATGCTGCCTCTGAGCCTCTAAATTAAATGCAAACCAGTGAGGATTTTAGACTCTCGGCTCCGTAAAGTCGTTCCAAAGGCGCATTCATCTTTCCAAATAAATTAATGTCACAAACTGGTTAATTCATTCATTCATTTCGCTCCTATTTACATTCGTGCTCCGTGTTTTTCATATGATATGACTGCGATTGGAAGTCAAAACCTCAGAAAGCTTATGTTTCCCTTTCAAATATATTTTAGTACATTTCAATAAGGTGTAGTACAAATATTAATTTTTGATATTCTTAAAAGTAAAGACTGGAACACGCAAAAATTGGTCGACAAAAAAATCGTTTCTGTCAGTCAAAATTCATATCACAAAAATCTTCTGATTTTTCTTTTGGTAGTTCAATTCATATATTTAAAGGAAAAAATGTTCGTTTATTCTTTTGGTTTGCCAAATCCGAACTGCCGTGCCTTCCGCTTAACCCCTTCCATTAAATTTTGCACAGTGTTCTCATCGACCTTATCCGCTGCCGAACGCCAGTTAGATTTAAACTGCTGCTCGTTTTCCTTGTATTTACTAGTTTTTTTTTAGATTCCTTTTGACCAAGGCCCACTACCTTTCGATAGGGCGGAGTTCTAGGCTGTTGAGAAACTTGTGATCTTTGGGTACCACAACCACGTTGTTCGAATCGTACCACTCGATTGCCTTTTTCCCATAGTGGCAGCTCGCCAAGTCCGTCCAGAACAGCACAGGTCTATTATGTTGCTTAAGGAATGGTAGGTGCTGCTTTTCCAGGCATTCCTGGACGTAGATCTCTTGATTGATGGTTCCCGTAGTAATGAAAATGCCGCTTTTTAGACCACACGTGCATATGGCCTGTCAGACGAGATATTTGTTTGGGAACTTCGATAGTTTGATGGTTTTGAAAATTTCAGCCACCTTCCCTTTTCCTGATGCGGTATAAAACTCCTGTCCCGGAAGCTGCTTGAAATCCATCTTCACATAAGTTTCGTCGTCCATGACGACACAGTTGAACTTTGTTAGCAGATTCGTATACAGCTTTCGGGACCGCTGCTTTGCCGACGTATTTTGTTTGTAATCTCGGTTCGCCACATTCACCTTCTCAAACATCGACAACCCGTTTCTTTACCCGCTGCGCAGTAGTATGGGATACATTGTGCTTGCCAGCGACGTCCCGGATGGAGAGGTTAGGATTCTGCTTATATTTCACCGTCACCTTCTTCGTCGTCGCTGCCACGTCCGGATTACGATTGCCGCCGCTACCAGGCTTCCTGGCGGTCGACAGACGCTCCCCGAACACTTTTAAAACGTTTGTCACGGTCGATTTGACCACATCCAGCAATTTGGCCGACTTGGCGTGTGAGAACGTTGGATTCTCTTGCTGCGCGAGCAAAATTTTGACACGCTGCTTCTCTTGCTTGGACATCATTTTGAAAACTGGATAGCAAACGGTGAAAACGCATCATAGCAACCATTGTATATACACTCAACTTCCAAATGCAGCATTTCAGGTTTTTTTTTATCCATTTTTAACAGAAATACACCAATTTGAAGTTGACCAATTTTTGCGCGTTCCAGACTTTATTTCTTGTGGAGATGTGGTACCTTCGTCAAGTTGCTCAAAACAATTGGATCTACAACATTGCTGCAGATATCTTTGTTCTGTAATGGATATAATGTCGGCCTAAATGCCCGTTATTTGGGCTCATACATAAATTCAGCAATCGACTAAACTTTCACTAGTGACGAAAAATATCCATTAGTACCGTACCAACCGATAAATAGCAAATTTTGATCGATGGGCCCAATCTTACATCCATAGGCCAACATTAGAGTCATTTCCGCTATATTACGACAGTTTACAGTTTACAGACTAATTTCTAGCAACTTTATGGGAAATAACTTTTTTGTATCTCCTCAATTGGCCGATTTAGGGCTATTTTCTTGAATTGAGTTAGGGTGGCTCTTAAAAAAAACAGTTGTTTTGCTCTAGTTTTCTTATTTCGAATTTCTCAGCAAAGGTGTCTTCAAATAACTTTTAGATCTTAAGAAGGCGCAAATTTTTGATACACAAAGCTTGTCAATATCTTTCGCCGATCAAGAGTTATTGACGTTTTATACTAAAAATATGCACTTTTCAAATGTTAATATCTCTGGTTGGGGCAAACAAAAAAAAAAAGTTTTTTTACGGCATTTGAAAGGGTGTATGCTAATCTCAATAATATGAAAAAAATTGGAGGTATGTTATTTTTTAAACTCGAATAAAATCAATTTGAAATTATTCATATTTTTTACTATATTTGGGTATATCTTTTTTATTAGAAGAGATACAGGCAACAAATTCAGCTATAAAACATTCGTTTTAAAAGTTTCTAGAAGATGACTTTCACGATAAATTTCAAAAAAAGTTATTGGCAAAAGATGGATTTCATAGGACCACTCTAATGACAAAGTTAAATAAAATGTGCTAGTACATTTGTTTCAATACTCGGACATTTAGTGTCTTCGAAGAAGTTTTTGTTCTTTAAAATTCCCTTCTTTTGGTGTTTGCAAACGTCAGGATGGTCCTCAAATTAGGGAATTTTTAAAACTAACTTTTTTGTTTTACAAAATAAAACATGTCTTGTTTAAAAAAGTTGTAGCTAAGTTGATTGCAAGCAACTTTGTTGAAGAAATTTTTTTTCTATCTCTTAACGTTCTCATTTTAGAGTAATTTTTCGGAGTTGACTTAGGGTGTTCCTTTTTTTATTTGAAATTTCTCATGAAAGTCATCTTCTAGAGACTTTCAAAACTCTTTAAGACGAATGTTTTATAGCTGTATCTCTTCTAATAAAAAAGATATGCCCAAATATAGTAAAAAATATGAATAAATACAAATTGATTTTATACGAGTTTAAAAAATTACATACCTTCAAATTTTTTAAAATTATTTAGAATAACTTACGCCCTTTCAAATGCCGTAAAAAAACTTTTTTTTTGTTTGCCCCAACCAGAGATATTAACATTTGAAAAGTGCATATTTTTAGTATAAAACGTCTCTAACTCTTGATCGGCGAAAGATATTGACAAGCTTTGTGCAGCAAAAATTTGCGCCTTCTTAAGATCTAAAAGTTATTTGAAGACACCTTTGCTGAGAAATTCGAAATAAGAAAACTAGAGCAAAACAACTGTTTTTTTTAAGAGCCACCCTAACTCAACTCAAGAAAATAGCTCTAAATCGGCCTGTTTAAGAGATACAAAAAAGTTATTTTCATCAAAGTTGCTTAAAATTAACTCAGCTATAACTTTGCCGAAGAATATATACCTTAATTTATTCAAACAAAAAAGTTAGATTTTTGATTTTAATGATAATAGGAACCACCCTAGAATTAATTGTCATAAAAATGAGGGCCTAACTATAAGGAACAACTTTGTAGAAGAGACTTTCAGTCTAAAGTTTCAATTTCAGGCTCAAAACATATCATTCCACCTAAATCTGCATTCTGGACCACTGTGCAATGGTGGATTCTATTCGCTCTGGTTCATCATGCATAAAAGATACAAGTTTGTTATCAATAAAAGTTGTAGCTAATATTAAAATCTACAATAACTTCATGCATTATTTTACCGTAATCTGTTGATGAAAAATGTTATGTTAATGTAAATGAATACACTAAATTATTTAATGTAGTATTTGTTATGAACACTTATCAAAATTAAACGGGTTTTAATTTAGTTTTTTTTTTATAATAACAGATGCTTCATCAGAAATTTCTTCTCTCATATAATTTTTACAGAGTTTAAGCCCTCAGTGAAGCTTCCGTAATTTTTTAAACCAAATCGAGCAACATCTTAAAACTTTGGGGCCATAAATGAATCAATTTATGAATACAATGAAGTGTAAGAAAATAATAAATTTAAGTTCAATTTAATCTTTTAGAACACCTCCTGGCTACGAATCTGCTCTATCACCGCTCAAATTTTGGATTTATTCTTATTTTGGCATAATTACCCTTCATTTGTAAGGAGGACTGTCATCTGATCACTCAATGCGCGCAATGCACAGACGCTGATGCCGTTTACTTTCGCTACTTTTTTGCACAGTGCTAGTGCACTAGCGCTAGCAAATACGCCCAGATATAAACACCACATTAGTGCAAGTGAACCAGTTGCCAGCAAAGCAAGTGAAAAACTATGCGCTATTTATTTCATGGCAGTTTAAATTCAGATAGAACCGAGCTCGTGCCGTACGGGCGGTATTTTCGGCGATGCTGGCTACACGGCGAATGAGAACGACTCAAATTTGAGTTTAGTTCACTCATAATCGGCAAAAGTTCAGGAACTCAGCGATGAGTAAAATTTGTCTCATGGTTTCCTGTGGAAAACCTAAAAAATCTGCCGGAAAATGAGGAAATTGACGACAATTTTATTCAGTCTTGGAGTAGTACCAATAGACTGAGTGAATCCAATCTTTACTTTTCTCAAATTCGGGAATTTTTCCCTGGAAAATCCTGGAAAAACCTGGGAAAACATGAGGCAAATTAACTCATCGCTGAGTTCCTGCAGTTTTGGCGATTATGAGTGAAGTAAACTCAAATTTGGGTCGTTCTCATTCGCCGTGTACTTATTTCGCCGCAAATCTAGTCCCGCAGTGAAAAATCATAATCACCTGGGAAAAAAATCCGAAAAGGAAACGAAATTATCGGTTGTCACTACCGAATGAGAAGAAATTAACATGGTTGCTTTTATAGAGAGAATTGCTTTGCTTGAACAAAGTTCTCGCGCTCTTTGCTTTACCTTTTCATTCTATGTATGGGTGAAAAGTGCCGTTTCTTTTCTCACATCAGCGATAATTTCGATCTTTGTCTTCTACAGTATTTATGAATCCAAAAACAGCCAACAATACGTGTTGCCAAAATCGAGATTTAATTGTATACTCCGTTTTTGGAAGAATTGTTCTGAGTTTCAAAACCTCAAACAAATATCTACCCGACGACTTTAAGGGGGGAAGTACAATTAGAAGGCCTAAAATGAGGCCTATCTTTGAGAGTGGATTGCGAGTAGGGAAATAAATGAATGTTAGCGATTCTTTATGTATGTTATTAAGGATTTAATGAAGATTAATTATCAGTGACATTTTTTTAAAATTTTGCAGTTTAGCCCAATTATTATAAATAATGTGAAGTCAATTTTTAAAAGCAGCACTTCGCGCCGTGCAGTCCCTACGTCCATGATCACGTCTGAAACAAAAAAAAACAGGACATTAAATTTGAAGGTACAGCGCACAACATGAATTAATTCGTATGTAAAAATAATGTTTCTTTCACAAAAAAATTTTAAGGTGAAAAAAAAAATTAAAAAACCCTAATTTTTTCGACTTTGTTTATAAAAAAAAACATGTTATAACAAACAAATCTAAAACATCTTTCTATTCATGTTGTGGAGAATTTAATTATGAACATAAAACAGAAAACCGGAATCGATTTGAATGAAAACTCTGACCTGTACATTGCACGGCGATTTTGAAAACACTACTTCTCAGTAGAAGCATAGTTCAACTTTGACATGTTCAGCCATTTGACATGCACTCACTGAATTGCGTATATTTTTTTAAAATAAGTTCCGGACGGCTTCATGCTTTTAAAGGCTCATTCCCAGATACATATAGAGTAAATTAAGCCAACAAAAAATTTTTCGAAAAAAAAAATTCTAATTGTACTTCCCTCCTTAAATCTTTTTCCATCGACACTGAAAAAAGTGTTCATGCTGTTTCTATTGGAAACACACTTTTTATCGATAGCATTCCCAATTGTATCTGAAGTCCACATATCATTCTTACAATCACATGAGCTCTAAGTGGTTTTCATACTAATTTCATTGCCGAAGTAGTGTTCATGTGATTTCGGGGTGGAATTTTCAATGATGTAATTAAATGACAAAAGAGAAAGTGTATGGTAACCAGGGTGCCTTCCATTCATTTTGACTAAAAAAATGTTTTAATAAATTATGGAATAATAAGATATTATGAAATTATTTTGATTGTGTAAACAACAAGAAGAGATTGTTAAGTTTGTGTTTGACACATAATACCTGCCAATTTTGCTACATGAGAGTCGCAATAAGCCATTTTGTAATTTATCTCATCCACTCTTAGCTCTTCACTCTTCGCGAAGAGGCGATCAGAAAAACGCTCATTGTGACTGTCAAAGCTAAATTTGCAGTTTTGATGTATCAAACACAAACTTTACAATGTTTTCTTATTATTTACACATACAAAATATCATCAAAATATCTTATTATTCCATAATTTCATAAAACATTTTTTTAGTCAAAATGAATGGAAGGCACCCTGATGGTAACACACTTCAGATCAGCAATGTTTATCAGTAACCTATTTAGTTTCAAACGTATATTTAATAATCATTGAAAGCACGCATCGATGTTCGATATTGTTCTTGTTACACATTTATGTTTGTTTTGCCCGTTTGGTTCAGTGTTGTCAGAACGTACTTCATCATTCTACTATTCCATCATAAGCCATAATTATCTATCCCATCCGCCTGTACACACCCTATTATTCTCCCGTTGTTTGTTCTGTTGACTTCCACAATAATTATATAGATAAGTGAATATAAACAATAGATAACCGTTTCTGGAAACGAGTTTCCATTCGACTACTAAGTTATAAACTAATTATTTTGCATTCTTCTACTTCTTTTTTTGTTGTTGCAATTGCAAATCTCTCCAGCAGATATACGGTGACGATTCTAGCGATTACGATTCCGTTGTGGATGAACTAAGTATTCTTCAATTACCTCCGCCACCTCAGAAGAGTCTGCTGCAGCACATGTTTTGCCTTCCATTGAACTAACAGTAAGATCGGATCGGACCCCTCCCTTCCCCGTTGGTTTCTGCGTTCTTCGTTTCCTTCTTTAGTTTTAACATAACTTGTTTCTATCCTCTTCGTCAAACCCGGGCAACCCGGTTGTAGGTATTACTATGAAACACAAATTAGGACAAACTAAAATTGCATGCTCTAAAAATGTGACACCAACGACTCACAAAAAAACTGATGTGTGGTTACACTGATACAAAACAGTTTCCAAAAGCGCTACAATTCGTTACGTTTAGGGCAATGGAGAACAAGTAACCTAAAACCTTAAAATCAATCTAAAGAAATTTATTCCAACTCTTATAACTACTGTAATTAATAAAAAAAAAACGGGCAACCAATTTACGAACAATTGTGAATGAAATTATAGAAGCAACAACAACAAAACAATGTGTAAACTAAAACTTCTTTATCAAAAACAAAAATCAAGAACGCAAACATGTTAGTATGATACATAAAGTATGTAACAACTCCGAGAATAAGACATCTTTCAAATGCCTCAACATTTGAGTGAGGATTACAAAACAAAAACAAAAGAAAACAATTGCTATTCAACAACTATTCAATATTGGAAAACCCAAAAAAAAATGAAAAATTGATGAACTGCACAGCGTTAACAAGAAAAATAAAAACTAATTGCAAATTGTATAGAAATGAAGAAGTAAGTTTAGCTAACAAAAAAATATTCAAACAAAAAAAAAATACAGAAAATGGAAGGATTTTAAACTTTTAAAAAATCAAACACTGAAAAAAAATGAGCAACAAAATTGATTTACCGGATAGAATGAATAAATTAAACAAAGAGAAAAACGAAAACAAAAAATAGTAATCGTGTTAGATAAAAACATTCAAATTATTCGAAGAAATGAAGAAACAAAACGGCGAAAGGGAAATTTTTATATGCTATTTAATTCATTACCTAAAACCCTAAAAATATGGCAAACCACAAAAAAAAACGATTTAGGCAATTGTTTTGAACGTCGTAAACTTTAAGCTATTTATCCATACCAGAGAAAATTAATCCTATTGAACAAAAAAAAAAAAAAAACATCGTCAAAACTACCAGCCTACTACTTACTAACAAACAAACAAAACAAAGACAACCAATTCCAATGATGATGAAAACACTAGAAGATATCCCTTTAAAACACCTGTTACCTGTTAAAATCAAACGAACTACTCTGTTTAGTAAAATTACATATTTTCCTCTTTTGCCGAACCGTCGCCGTTTTCTATTTAGCGAGAGAGATAGAGAGAGAGAAAGAAAGAGAGAACTATTTATTTTCCATCGCATTGGCACTAAAATTAACCTTTCTCCAATCGCAAAACAAACATTCCATTGTGATTGTGTAATGGTCGAACTACCTAACCTATCTCCCTACACTTACACACCTAGGCTAAACTGCGCAGAAAGACTTGTTAGGTATTCAAACACATACACACACAAGATGCTCATTCCACAGCGGTGCCGAATGTTCGCTTTCAATCGACGGCGCCGAATCTAGGTTAGACCGATTCGTTTATTTCTATTATTATATTCACATTGTAGTAGTAATAACAACAACAACAACAACAACAACTGTGTACTGTTATAAACCGCATTCATTAGTTAGTGTTTCAAGTGCATTGTTTAGATAAATGAGAAAGAGAGAAAAATCGAACGTTTGGTTTAGCTCCATTTACAAGAAGTGATGAAAGAAGGGAGTATTATTCATAATGTAAGAAAAGAAGGTACTTGAACAATTTAATACATTAGGATCATCCTAATATTAGCAAAAGTCAGCGAATGAGCCGAATCGTTGAACGGTACCGGATGCTTAGGTTACTTATTTGTATTTATTTATGTCTGTTTCATTAATTTTTCAACTATTTAATAGTGATCACACTCACGATTACTCAGTGTACTTACCTTAGGGAAAGACCATTTGTACTTAATTTTTTTTTCCTTTTAGTAAGTTTCTTTCATTTCTTCCATATCAGTACTTATCAGTATTTTGTTTAACTCTAACACCTTCCTTCCATGTTGAATTAATGAAAATGAAGAAACAAACGATTACAATGAGACATTATTAAAGTGAAGAATAAATGCAGAAATTGAACATTTCGAATAAAACAAACAAAAGGTGCCATCGGGGGTTATTGCTTCGAAAGCCATGGGTGTGTGTGTTGTTGTTTTATCTACCTGGAGGTTTTTACGTATTCTCGTCAATCTAAGCAGCGTCCGCACTTCTATTAGCAATTTCTCAGGGTCACGCACACATATGACGTGCTTGTTTGATTAAATTTATCTGCTGCTTTTCCATTTCAGAATTGTCCAAAACGGGCTTTTATTCACGAGAAACGACGGCTAAAGTAATTGTTTACAATTACGCTCCTTTGAAATATTGGGACTAATATATCAATGTTATAATAAGAGTCCCGCCAAGAGTGAAACCAGAAGTACCAATCGAACTGTCAAGCGGGGTACCAAACAAGCAAAGTAAATAAACATTATTGTTCCCATAGCCAGTGAACTACAAGTATTGCATTCATTACTGACAATATTTTAGTAATTTTAGATGAAAAACATTACTTCGCTTTATTTAGTACATTGTGGTATTTATAAGTTATACCAAGCACTTGTCTGAACATTTTTCTGGTTATATAATTGTTTTTTGATTCCCAGAAGCTCCGTTATCGACATGAAATGTTTCACTTCTGAATGAAAGTCATGCGATGCTAACACAAAAAATCAGGTTGCCATTTACTCTGACGAACAATAAATCACAAATATAGATACTATACATTCCATAGATAAGCGGAGGCACAAGAAGTCAGGCAACCCTGAAAAATAAATAATCTTACTGGCATCCGTGAAAAAAGTTCATGCCATCATAGAGCTCTTCGTTGGGCAGTTTTGTTTTGTTTCGTGCGTAAAAGTTCAAAATGAAATGCAAAGCAAATCTTTGCAACAATGAATCGAGTAATGGTTTGCTTTATCTTTTCTCCTTCCGTTGTCCGTGAAATAAATCGGAATGTGGAGTGTGGAAAGCTGCTCATAATATGACAATACTTCTCCCTCAAACAACACCATGATGACGTCATGCTCGTTTGCCTACACTAACTGACAGTTCATTTGGCTACATTATACTTTGTCTCCGCTTATCTATGGAATCTATAGTATATATAATGACAAACAGTGCTGATTGTTCGTAGCATTTTCTCTTGGCGGGACTCTTAATATAACATCGGCTCTGACTCGTGTGGTGACCCTGATCATCAAGCGGCCGATTACGAAAAAAAATTTTGCTTAATACCGATGAAGAGATTGTTCCCGTTGCAAGTGAAAATCGAAATGACGCCGAACGAGATGACAGCGTATACGGAGAAAAAATACTACCCAAAATTTGAGTTCTTTTTACTTAATATTGAGTTCAGCCTCTCACTTGCACTCTTTATTGTTATCAAAAAAAGGAACGAGAGATTCGACCCAACGATATGTTTCAGCCCAATAAGTTACATCTGAGTAAATTGCATATTCTCAAATTTACGTTGATTAAACCTAATGTTGGGTAGAATATATTTATGAGGAGGTTTTTTTTTTTGCTGGTCTTAAATGGAAACTACCCGATAAAACATCCCACCGATTTTTCCCTCAACTTCGGCGGGTTTCGAATAATCGATGGATAAAATTTATGGTAAAAATCGACAAAAACCTATCAAATCGGATGATAAAGGACTACTAAATCGACTGATTACTAGGTAAATAAAGCTTAAAAATAAACTGAAACAGACAACATCGGCTGATTTGTTGCTACTAAATAATCTGATTGGTAGACATAAAGAATCAGAGAATAAGTAAATCTCAAAGAAATCGTCCGACGCAGAGCTATTAAATAGCTTTATTAATCGACATACAAAAACGAACAACGAATGAAAGTCGACGAAATCGGTTGATTTTAAACCACTAAATCCATCGATTAATCAGTATAGAAAGAAATCAAAATACCTATGGAATCCGACGAAATCAGTTGATCAAGAGCTATTAAATAGGTTTGTTTATATTTTCCTTACAGATAGTATAATCGCAGTTTATACTTACAGTATATTATTAATACCTTAATTCTTAATCTTAATTCTTGAAAATAATGTAAACACGGAATAAAGACGAAATCTCGGACGAAACATGCTCCTGGTCCTGCTGTTCCTTGCGGTAGTCGATAGCTACTGAGATCTTATCGGGGAAAACTCTGGCGACTCAATATCAGATTGAGAACAATCATCAGAACTCCTGCGGCTACTGTTCTCAGGAGTCGATGATGTACGGGATTCAAAGGATGTTTCTTGCGGTTTGGATTTCTTCGGACTGCCTCCAGGCTGTTGATTGGGCTGATCAGATGTCATCACCGAGTTCTTCTTCGAACCCGCGAAGTGTGGAGCTTGCTTTTTTGCCTGTGACTGGCTGCATCCCGGTTGCTGGGATGACTTCATCTTGTTTTCTTCTGAGCCCTCGGAAAGAGGAGATCGCTTCTTAGTCTTCGTCTGACTACATCCCGGCTGCTGGTCGGATGGCTTCGTGTTTTCTTTCGAGCCCTCGGAATGAGGTCGCTTCTTAGCGTCCCTACGCTGTTTTGCAGCTGCCACCAATCCCGTGAAAATTTTCTCAGGTGTTAGGGTGATATTATCTAGAAAACAATATAATTTTTAGTGTAATGTTCGTTACCTTGGATATTTATACTTACTGATGATATGCCGAATAAAGTTCAGGTTCCTTATTTCGTCAGATCGTCGGTATTCGTTTATCGCCTTCTCCGCAATGATGACACGAAGCCAGTCGTCCTTGGCAGCATTGCTTAATGCGTACGCGATTTCTCGTTTGATACTGAAGTTGTTGCGGGTCAGCGAATTTTACCATCGTATCTTGGATTTCTTCAAGGGTATCGAGAGGAAAAGTTCTTTTCATTGGGGCTTCCAAATTCTTGACCACCAATTCTCTGAGCTCTTTGAGTTCGTTTCCATAGTTCGTCAATAATTCCCTTGTAGTCTGAAAATGGGCAAGGATGTCTCGATTTTGCTGTTCAACTGTAAGGAAATAATAACATATTTCACAGCTTAATTAAAATTGAGGGGCCCAAACGCAAAGGGGTGTAAGTGACATTTTGGTCAAATTTGAGTTAACCACACTACAAAAATCTTCAGAGTTTAAGCTTTGCGCCAGTATTTTTGTAAGATTTTTAAGTTAAACAGAATAAATTATCATAATTTTGAGAAAACTGGTTTAATTTTTGAAATCTCATACATTTTGTATGGGAAGATAAGAAACTGGCATAACTTAAAAGACCTTTTTCTCAAAACTAGGTTTTTGTCACTTACACCCCTTTGCTTCTAACCCCCTCAATTAAAATTAACTCTTTCAGATGAGTAATTACAAAGAGAAATTTAAATTCTCTGGGGGTGCGACTGGTAATGAGTTTAGCTGAATGTTGTGGCTTTCTCAGTCTAGGGAAATCCAAACGGTTAAATTTGCATTGCCTTGCAATGCAAATTTAACCGTTTGGATTTCCCTAGACTGAGAAAGCCACAACATTAAGAGAAATTTAAATATACACCGTTTGCATAATACAGTCATCATTCGTTCATTGCAACATGTTTACATTGCAATAAGCGAATGCCATTTGCTAATCGCAACGCATTTGCAACGTCAAACTAATGTCACTTTGACACTAAAGTGCATTCGCCTGCATTCACCACGTGATTTTTGACAGATAGCTGCTTTTTAATTGCAAGACGTTGCAATTAGCGGACTTGCAATTAAAAAATGTTGCGATTAGCGAGCTTGCAATGAGCGAATGTTCACTGTAGTCTATTGGCCTCTCTTTCCGTCTGCTGCAAATTTTGTGCATTTTTCCAATTTCTATCTGTTTAGATCTTTTAGATCTAAACAGATCGAATTGGGTAAAATGCATAAAAATTACAGCAGAAGGAAAGAGAGGTGAATAGAATTGTATGCACTTATGGGGTTCGAAATAAGGACAAAAACTTTCTTATGTTTTTTAGGTGTAGCATCAATCTTTTGTCCGGCAGTGTAAATTACCTTTCTCTATTTTTCCATTCACACGTGCGAATTCACGTTCCAACAACCGTTTGAGGTTACTGTTGTCCGACATCTCAATTGTTCAGCTTAGTCGTAACCTATATGAAGCAAAGTTAACGTCAAAACGAATCCATTACTGAAAGGCAACTTTACTATTTTTTTGGTTATTTCAGCAAGATTCACAAATTTAACGTCATTGCTCAAGGTTCGAGAGAACCAAACTCCAATCCTCGATGAAGCGATACGCGAATTAAAAAACGAAAGAATTTCCAAGAACTCCTGGATGATTGCTCCACGTGATCCTTCCGATTCTGCAAATCCTAATACTTTTGCAGGAATTCCGTCTACCAGTATACAATCATCCTTGCCATTAGCACTAATCATTAATGAATTATCAAAATAGCAAGTACGATATGCGAAAGAGCATCCAAATAAAGTCTTCTTCATCTGAAACTGTTCTGCGAAATGTCTCTCCTTTCTTGTTCTCTCGCCAATATTGCATTGTTCAGCCATTCGTTTATGAAGCTGCTGGAGGGGCTGATGTTTCTTGGTTAAATTACGCTTGATCTCCTGCATGAAGTTTTCGTATTTAAATGCGCTTATTGACGGTAAATTCCCATACAGCTTTACATAATCAGGCAAGTGAAGAAGCATGTGCACATTGTGGGTAAGACTAGTTTGGCCGTAAAACACATGGAAACGAAACTCAAAATCACGAAGAAACTCTCGAGCTAAATCCACATCCGCCGGTAAAGGGTTTCTGGCCGACAAAAGACGAAGTGCGGAAAAATATAGAAGAAAGTGCTCATGCTGATCGTTTTGGAAGAACTTTT